ACTGTTTCGTATTAATTTGCTAAAGGGAAAAACTCATTTTGTAAGATGTTTGCTATTATCAATCCTGAAGTCTCTGGCTATTACCTTGGTTGCTTTTTTGTTTGTTTGTTTTTAATTCTCCTTTTCATACATCAACATGGATACTGAAAATCCATTACTAGATCCACCATTGCATATGGACAAACTTGTATTGAAATCAAGTCCTGGGCAGTTGCTATTTTTGTATTATGCCCTTCTTGTTAGGGTGTAATTTAGGGTAGATGGCAAACTTAAAAGTAAGTTATAAGTATTGCATAACACTGTGGAACTGTCAGTGCTCATTTCACAAGCCCCTTTGGCTGTAAGTGGTGATATCTGAAATTAAAAGTAACTGTCATTTTGATGCATAAGTAAATGCGTCTTGCAATAGAAACAATATAATCAGAATTTGAAATAAAATATCTTATTTTTAAATAAGGAAGTCCTCAACTGGAATTAACTAGCACTAGTCAATTCATACAAACAACTCATTTACTTTCATGGTATACTTTAATTCTGGACTGTTTGGCTAACAAGAATAAAAAGAAAAACAAAAACCCCACAAAACCAGACAAATACACTCATCCCCCCCCCCCCCCCCCCAAAAAAAAAAAAAAAGTGATTGGAGATACGCGAGGAACAGATGTGGAAAGTAAGAAGATGCTCACTTTTGCACTTGACAAGTAAAAGTGCAGCCTAAGCCTGTTGGTGAGAAACCTGCACTGTATTGCTTAGCTTATTATAGGGCATCTTATGATATGCTTCAGAGATTTCTATTTTCAAAACTTGCATCTACATATACTACCCAGAACCCTGGGAATCTGAATCTATGTTTTGAGTCCCCAGGCTGTTATCACTAGACAGGCAATGTTAGTGCAGATTTCAGATACATCGATACTTTCAGGCACTGCCTAATTTTTGGCTAACAAGGCAAGGGCATGTCTTTTGCTGATGTAACATTGTTCTCTTTTACATAACTTGCACGAGGATCTGTATTTGCAGGTACAATCTGAAATGTTGTGAACCACTCACATTTAATGATAGTTATTTGGTTACATAGATTAAAATCAGTCTTAATTTACTAAGAATACTCATGCAGTTTTGGTGAGCTAATGATACTGCAGCAGTTCAGACTCAGAGATTTGGAGTCCTTATTTTTTTTGAGAGTAGGTAATGGGCAGATCTTCATGCTACCCATTCTCAGGGCAGACATTCATCTGCTATTAGATGTGCATATGCCTTTCAAGCCTTTAAGTGTCCAACCATTTGTCACACATAGGTTGGACTGTTGCAGTGCTGTATGTGGCAACATCTTGCTCTGTTTCTATAAAAATACTTGTTGCTGTTACTACTACTGGCTTCTGAGTCAAAAAATGGAAGATTGTTTTCAAGAGCTTGCTAGGAAGCACTGAACAAGTTTGTTCAATTTCGTGGAGCAAAAGGCATCTCTGACAGTGACTACCCTTTTCGCTCCGAGCACATGAATGCATGCATTCAGCACTTGTATTGAACTGTCTGTTCCTGACAAATGTTAGGAGAACTCAACACCCTTTCTTACATAGGGTACTGCAAAAGGTTTTAGTTGTTAAACAAGAATTTTGTAACGGAGTCATAGAGAAATCTGTCGTCTTTAGTACTTTAGCATATATAGAGAAAAATCTTCACCTATGAACAAACCAGAAACCCAGGATATATATGGCCATCTCTTACCTGGAAAAATTGTAAAGATGTTGGAAACTCATGCAGTGAAAGAGGTATGGTCCCAGGAGTATGTGGCACTCTGCTTTTAGATTTACATATCTGCGTGCAAGGTGCTGTTTAGCATGCAGAGTACTAGATATGACTCTAAAACCTCTGAATGGGAAGGTATTCATTTGTACAAAAGATGTTTTTCCTTGGGACAAAGTACCATTCAATGAAGGTATACAAGCTGGAGATTCCTTCAAGTATCAGAAGGTAGATAGAAGGCTGAATGTTATCTGAGAAAGCTTGGAACTAGTAGCTTTAAATCTTCCTACTTCAAGGTGGACTGCATCTCGGTGTATTTGTTTCCTTAGCAATGAGAGGGAGGATACTGGTGGGAGCTCATAAATATCACAGTGCACAGTATCTGATTGATTGGCTAGAATAAACATTAAGTGCTGGGTGAAGAGAAACTTTTTTAGAAGTAGACTGTTTTATAACTATATTTTAAATGTTTCATCAAATGCCTAAAGCAAAAGATAGCAATTTTTTTTTTTTATTCAGGATATTTATTTGCTGAAATAAATGAATAATTTATTTACTTGCTATCTTGGTTGTATGTCTCCTTTCTGTGGATCCTTGTCAGGATGTACTTCAAATGGATATTTTTAGAGAGCAATGTTGGTCTTGGGGAGTAATTGAAGCATAGCAGTAGGTGAGTTACATGTCCCTGTAGTTGGCCTTTGGACCTTTTGAATGTCAGTTTTTACAGTAATTTCGTTACTTGAAAACTGTGGTGATTAAGTGTTCACATCTTTTATCCCAGAAAATCAGTTGCCATCTTTGCCTTGGTCAGTCAGGAATACTGCAAGCCTTACTATGTTGTGTTCAGCTGTCTTTGTGCTATACATAAAACAAGTACAGGGTAATTTTTTTTTCGTCTGACCTTCCTTCAGTCTGGTTTTGTCTCTACTTTTGTTAATGTAGATCAGGTAGTAAGACTCAAAGGAGTCTAAATGCACGCATTCTAAGTATGTTATGGGTATTTGTCTAATTATTTTGTATGTTTATTTTGATGGTGACTTGTGTCCACATGTGTATGTGTATTTATTTGCACGCCTGCATGTAATTGTTAATCTACCTTCCAGAGTTTGCTTCTAAAATGTTGGACCTGATTCTCAAACTTGTACAATTATTTCACTTTAAAAGACTTGTGGCAAATACAGATAAGTGAAGGAACTAATGCAGTCCAAGAGTACTTTAGTATTGAGTGGTCTAAATGAACAGGCTGATGAAATAATGAAAAGCAAGTACTTCAATAGCAAAAAATCTCAGGGATGCCTTTGACTAGTTATACCAGTTAGAGCATATTTAATTACAGAAGTATCTCATATGAAATAAATATTTAGTAAAATTTATCTATAAAAGCATCCTGAAATGAAAACAAAATCATACAAAAAGAGTACAGGGAAACATCTTTCATTGCTGTATATTGGTATAAGTTAACTGACTTTAGCTGATTGTCTCAATTGATGTTTAATGAACTTAATCTCTAAGCAAATCGAATCGCTCTCTGAGATACTTAAAAATAGAGTTAATGGCTTGACTTCCTGCATCAGAGCATGAAAATGTTGTTCTGGATGTTTTAAGTAGTCAGGTGGAAGTGTATGTAAAAAAGGAATCTATTTCTAATAAAATACAAGGGTTACTTAATTTTGCACTGGTAGAGGACCTAAAGAGTTTGAGAGTATGATCTTTAGATTGAATGCTCTATGTGCCAGGGTCTCTATAGACAAGATATTTTCTGAGAATATTACAAGCTTTTCAAAAAACATAATATTGCAGAAAAAAGTCTAGGAAATGGATCTTGAAACAACCCTTCTCAGAAACCGAACTGTTATAATCCAAGTTTGAACAATTTAATTAATATAAGTCACTTGATATTCTAGTTTATTTTATTCAGTGTTGTAATGACTTCATAACATTTGATAGCAATAAATTAAATAATAATGGACACATGAAAGCAAACTATATACTCCCTTGGCTTGTAAGAAGTTTGTGGCATACATGTTTCTGTAGAAAATGCATTGCTGAAATTCTAGGTATTATAGTTACTGATGTAGTAATCCTCTAATTAAAAGATTGTTTTTTTCAGAATAAATGAAATTCACAGACACAAAATGGTGACCTCAGTTGAATTTTTACATGAGTTTCATACCTAAATAGATTTCATTATGCTGTGAATAGATATAAAAATGGATATGAAAGCTGATATAAACCCACAATACTAGAATAGCATTATAAGGCTTATTATGTAAAGACTCATCCCTGTTCCCCTGACTTTCAGAAGTCAGGTGTGTGGTTGAACACTTAACCTACTTGCAAAGATACTGCCATGGGATGTGCTAGTCATGAGGTGGTTTGTATAAAGCCACTATCGAAATATTTAACAAGAGCTCTAGCTACATATAGAATTTTGTATATGCAAATTATGGCCACTTTTGGAAGCAAGTCTAGAAGATTCACCTGAGTTTTTCTCAGTCCTGTGACAGATAAAATATATTTTAACATATTTTCTAATGGTGCTCCCTCTTTTTCATAGAGATGCAGGCAGAAATCTGGGTCAATAGGTCTGGTTTTTCCTAATATTAGCTAACCTTCATGCCATTCATCTCATGCATGACCCTGTTGAAGCCATCTCGCAGCATGGGCTATTAGTATATTTTGTTAACATTTTCCTATATCTTTATGCTTGTGCCATTAATGAAAATATTAAATCCCATCTATCCCTGAGCTGGTTATTAAGGAATCCTCCTTGTATTGCTAGTACTCTTTTCAGCTTTCCCCACTATAATTTGCCTTTTTTGTTCTAATGAGGCTTAGTTCTCTCCTTCTTAAATAAGATTTTCCTACTAACCAGTGCTATATGAATTTGCTTTACCACACTTCCTTTTTCCTTTATATTATTTTTTACTTTGATTAGTTTTATATGTAAAATGGAACAATTAAGATAGAGGAAAATTATAAAGCACATCACATATCATGAACTAGGTGTGTTACAGTGATTAGATTAAACCTAAAAAGATGTTGAATAAAACTTGAGATTTAAATGAAATAAAATGTTAATAGAACAAATCTGTGACATACAAGAGCATAATCATAAAAACCTACCCGACACATAGGATAAATCAAACGCAAAAACAAGAATTGTACAATGCCTTTGAATGATTAGCTGCATTTTCTTACAGAACTCAAGAATAATTTTAATACGTTTTCCAACTGTTTGTTTTTCCTTACAGTACTTGGGATGTATAGAAGTCTTACGCTCAATGAGATCTCTTGACTTCAATACTAGAACACAGATTGCAAGGTAAGGTTCTGTGCAAGTATGTTTTTTAAAGTAAATTCTGAATTGTGTCTCCAAAGTGGAAAGGCCAGGAAGGTGGCAAAACACACAGTAAATTTTTGGATACAGTAAGTCCACTTTTAAGTTTTGCCTTTACAGGTAAATCTCTTGCCTGGTACTAATGTAGCTCCAACAGGGCTTTAAGGATATTTAGTTCATGTGCCAGGTCATTTCATGTGCCAGGAACTGCTTTAGAAAATTTTTGCCTGTTTGTTATGCTGAATAATGCTCATATCTGGGTACCAATTTCATGACATTTAAGCCAGTGAGGATCTGAATAGGCTTAAAATCTACAGTGTATTTGTCAAAATTAGTCTAGGGAGCTGCTTTGCAGCTACATGTTTATAGGTTTTTATACTAATTTCTTAAAAAATGATGTCAGATTACAGAGTGGCTGTACAAAAGATTTCGGTGAAAATGTATCACAAGAATGGTACCAGAGATGAAAGAATGTTGTCTTTACCAGCCTGTGTGTAAGAAACAATAAGTTTGTATTAGGTTCTTATTTCAATTCTTACATCAATTCTGTCATGGTATTTTTTAGGAGCAGAATGTAAGTACAGCACTGTCTTAAGAAGTGTTCATAAATCATTTTTTTATTCTAGACTATTTTGTGAGAACTGTAGGAAATAGTGTTTTGCAGGCATTTTCACTTGAAAGGCTGAACTCGTTGATTTCAGAGGAAGCACTGATGTCTTCTAGCAACTGGAGCCCATGTTTTCAAATTCTATCATCAAAATAATGAAGTAATGCTTTCCAAAGGAACACATAGAAAGAGTTACAACTGGATATATTGCTTGAATTTCACCTCTTTGTAGCATGTTAAAGTTGCTGGTAGTCTATCCTATACCTTTTGTCATACCATAGAGAGCTAAATATTTCTTTTGTTAAATGAGAAAAATGACTAATTTTTAGGCTTGGAGGCCAATTGTACAGTCTATATGCATTGACTTAGAGTTACACTTGCATACAGCAGCTTTGAACTTGGACCCGTAATTCTTCGCACAGTGTTAATCATTAATTTGTCAAGGTACTGCATTGATGAGGGGCATAAAAGCACAGGGAAAGGTAAATTACAAAATTCTGGTTTTCAGGCAATGTAGGCAATAGAGGCATTTTCCTACTGTACTTTTGTAAAACTCACCATGTACGTTTCTGCGGTATTTGCAGCAGTGACCTTTTAAAATGATTTCATGTCTAAGAAGACTTGTAGTCTCAATGGAGCTGGCACATTTGTGTTTACTGCTGGAAGTTAAATGATACTGGCTTATGAAACACTTGTGATAGTTACTGTTTTGGTATTGTATACCTGAAGGTGAACTAAACTCCACTTTATTTTTCTGCACAGTCTGTTTCACTACATGTTTTCATTGGAATAGTGTTGCACTTTTTTATTATCTAGCTTAAAGGCACAAATATGCCATTAATACTTAAGCATATTTGCTGATTTAAATCAATATGATCTGCATAAAATATCTTTGTCTTACAGTTCTTTCAATATAAAGATTATTCTTGGCTTTTACTGTGAAACAGACTTGGAATTATCTCTTTCTCTGTTGAAGTTATAACATATTTAACTATATGGTGGGCATTTTCTTGGCTTATCTTCCTCTGACCACATCTAGAGCACAGGGTATTTCTTCAAGCCATATCTTCCTGTTTTAGTTGTTATTTTACATTTGCAATTTTCTGTTTATCATTAAACAATAAAGACTCGTAATTCTGATTGTGCAGTTCCTCATCTAAAACTTCTTATGGAAGTAGGAGTTTTTAGGTGGCTTTTGAATCAGGATTTATCATTTTAATCTACATTTCATTAATGCATCTGGCTCTAGAAAAGCCCATGTAATGTTTTAAGTACCCACATGCTTTGTCATGTAGCATTTCTCATATAAACCTATGCTTTACTAAGAAAATATTATGAAGGAATTATTAAAATTCACACTTGCTGATTAACTTGCTCGTGTGCATTAAGAAATGTAACTTGGGCCTCAAGGTATGTACTGAATTAACAAGGCTGATGTTCTGAAATTACAGGCACCAATTCCCTAAGAGGACATCTGGCACCAAATGATCTGTGCAGTCCTGTGATTAAAAATAAAATAAAAGCATCTGAATGTTACATTTGTATCTCCTGTGTCATACATTTATACTTAGGTATGTCCATTGATGATTTCTATGCAGGCTGCTACCAGTAAGAAAACTGCCCTTGTAACCTGACAGCTCATGATGGAGTGTGTCTGAGGCTTGGGTCTGTAGATCTAGTAATGTTAGCTGGTACTGCTCCAGCTGAGGAGCCTAGGTTCATAGCTGCCATAGAAGCATGTCTGTGTGTGAGGCTGTGTACACTTCTCTGTTCTCTTTACTGTAACTGGAGAAACAGATGTAAGGCAGCTCTGGTCCTTTTCTGACCCATAACTTTATAAATTGGTCCTACTGCATGTGCCACACCTGTTTATTCTATTACTTTTTCCAAGACCTTGCAAAACCAGTCAGAAGAAAGTGATCTGGCTTGCGCCATTGTGACTTCTTGTATTACGCAGTATTTATGAGGTGTGATTAAAGAACGGAAAAGATGAGCCAAGTTACGTGATTTAGCGTGGAAGCCTGGATGTATCTCTTTCTAATAAGCATGCATCCTGCTTGACATGTACAAAACACTTCCTTTCTAGTACTGCATCGCATCCCTGTCCCTCTTGCTTTTTTACCCTCACTTTTCCTCCATGCTACAGACCTCAAATGTAGGAAGTCAGCAATTAGGAATCCTACATTTCCCTTTTGTATGTTTTCTGGTTATCGCATATGTCACTTTATGTCTCTGCTAGCACTGAGGAAGAAAAAAAAAGTAAGATGAGAAGCACCAGTTCCTAAAAGAAAAAAACAATTGTGGCTCAGTCATGGGAGAGTGAGATATGTAGACTCTGGCTCTGCTGTAGACTTTGGGCATTATTTTGGAGAAGCCATTATCCCCGTAACAGACAACTCCATGATTAAATGAATTAGTGCTTGTAAAGAGCACTTACATTGTTGGGTCAACGTTTAGAAATTACTTAAAAATTAGTCTCAGATTTCCAGTTATCTGGTGAATTAGACACCCATTTTAAATAAGAAGTTACTGGGAAAAGATTGTCCAGGTATTTTGAAGGACTTTGAAAATCACAGCTGTTAGAATTAATACATTAGGAAAGCATATACACTAGTATGTATATGCTTTATACACATAAACGCATACCCATATACACACACATATGCATATATGTGTATACACACATATACACCAGTGTGTATGCATGGGTTAGTCTGAGAAAACTGTGACTTCAACTCCAGGAACCAGATTGAAGGCCCAGTGTATACAGTTTGGTCAGTGCTCTTTTCTTCCTTGACATAGTCATGTGAAAAATCAGTCTGTACCATCTAATATGGCTGTACCTGGCCTGTAACTTTGTTTGTTTTGTTTTGGGGGGGATTGTGTGTTGGTTGGTTTTGGTTGTTTGGGTTTTGCTTGTTTGTTTGTTTTTGTTTTTGTGTTCTTTTTAAATAAAAATGTCAAAACTCGAAGCAATACATTTATCTTGGTGTGAAAGCAATGAGCAAGCACTTTCACTTGCCATACTCTTCATTAGGTCTTAACAACTTCGGTGGTGCCTGACAAAAAGTGTTTTCCTAATTTTGGATCTGAGTTAAAGTTAACAGCTATGTATGATTTATAACAGATTTTTCCCTTTATCACTACACATTTGAGGTCTCAAGATTCTTTTACTACAGGATAAATAGGAGAACTAAAGTAGTATTAATCAGTTGTATTAATTTTTTTCTATAATGAGTGTAATGTCATGTGAATTCTTAACTAAATAAATGGATGTGCACACAAGGATAAGCAGTTATGTATAATGATAAATAAAAGCCAGCTGAATCTACATGTTGCATTGTTGATTATCCAGTGATAATTCTTGTAACACATGTGAAGTCAAGATGACTTTCTTGGGCAGCAAGATGAACAGAAGCATTTCATTTTCAACATAGTGGAGGAACAGGAGGACTGGAAGGCAAGACTACTGAGCTAACATCAGGTGGCAAGTGGTCCTAAGTTCATCTGAAACCTACCATCATTGTCACAGAAAGGGGCCACTCTTAAGCTTGTGTCCAGGCCCTTTATGCCGTCAGGCTGTGTGTAAACAGACAAACAAAATCAGGTAAAATTCTTTTGCAATGCATGCAGTGCTTGCAGTTCATATAATAATATGCTTGTATGCTTATTATTAGATCTGTTCTAGTGTAATGTGATTTCACTGCTGTGTTGTATTCATGAGTAGTTATGTGCTGGTTTGAATTAGAATAATGTTGCATGCCCTGTTTGTCGTACTGCAATGTCTGGACTACAAGTCTGCATGTTTGCTGTTATTTAATTGAATGCAATCAGTTTACTGCATGCGGTTTCAGAAGGTGACACCTCCCTTTGCTGAGTAAAACATGATATTGCATGATGTGCTAATAAGAAGTAAATCAGAGGACTGAGACGCTTCATATAATCAGTGGACCTGAATCCAAACTCTGACCCCAGTCCTCCCCATGAACTCTTTTGAGCTGAACAACTTGAATGAGATTCCTCTCCAAATCTGAGGCCTGAACTTTTATGCCAGTATCCCAAGCTTCTGGAGGGGAGGTGGCAGAAGTGCAGATTTTAGAGCTGGGTTTGCGTTCAATGGTAAACATTATGAATGAAGTTCAGTTTATGTAGTGTTTCTTTCAACCATATCTCTATTCTTTGCAGAGATTCACTGTCAGCAAGCATCTCTGAAAAAAAAAGGATGGAAGACATGGAAAAGGAAGAATGTTTGTGATTTTTGAGTGTGGATAGGTAGCGTGTAATCTGCAGTGAATTCTTCATTCAGTCTCCTTAACATGCTCTCTTGCTTGGAAAGTGAGTATGGTTCACCCCTGCTTTCAGCTGCATGGACTCCGGA